ACATCTTTCTTTAGGTTGGGAAAGTTTTCTTCTATAATTTTATTAAATATATTTTCTGGGCCGTTGAGTTGCACCTCTTCTCCTTCTTCTACTCCAATTATTCTTAGGTTTGGTCTTTTTATTGTGTCCCATATTTCCTGAATGTTTTGTGATGAGAATTTGTTGGTTTTGCTGTTTTCTTTGATCAGTGTGTTTATTTTCTCTATGGTATCTTCAGTATCTGATATTCTTTCTTCTATCTCTTGTATTCTGTTGGTAGTACTTGTCTCTGTAGTTCCTGTTCGTTTACCCAGATTTTCCATCTCCAATCTTCCCTCGGTTTGTGTTTTCTTCATTACTTCCATTTCATTCTTCAAGTCTTGAACTGCTTCCCGTACCTGTCTGATTGCTTTTTCATGTTTCTCTTGATTTTCTTGGGTATCTTTAAGCGATTTATTCATTTCCTCTACCTTTTTGTTTGTAATCTCTAATTGTTTATGGCAGTTTTTCACCTCCTGCTTAAGGTCTTCTATTATTTTCATATAATTCACTTTTGAGTCGATTTCTTCTAATTCTTCTGGAGTAGGGTGTACAATTCTTCTTATTTCGGGATCCCTTGATTCTGGTGAAGTCATGTTGCCTTTCAGGTTGTTGGAGGAAGTCTTGCATTGGCGCCTTCCCATCTCCTCCTCAAATGGAGCCAGGAGAGGCCTGGTGTCTTGGTCTAGTCTTTGCTGTGAATGAGTCTCTGGGTGTATCTTTTCAGTGTAGAAGCAGGGACCATCCCATTGAGCTGGAACTCCTCAGCACCCAAACCTGGACTACCATCCAGATGGAACTCCTCAGGACCGCTCTGGGTGGGTTGTGGATGCAAGCCTGATGTCTCTCCTGGTGCGGGGTTCGGATCTCCTTGCTGCTTGGGTGGCTCGTAGACAAAGGGCCTACCTAGCTCGCTGCAGGCAGGCTAGTGGGGACAAAGGAGCTACCACCCTCCCGTTTGCCCTGCCGATTCGGATTCCGGTACAAATTATTATTATTAAGATAAAGAAAAGTGCTGCTAGTTTTGAAAGTTTCACATTGGTACAGGTTTTTTTACATGTTAATGCAAATTTAAGTTATTCTTATTGTGATTGATACACACACACATGCTCTTGTTTGAAATATATCTATGCAATATTCTGAACTGCTGGAAGAAATCAGAACAGAACACACTGATGGAGATTTGCACGTTTTCTGAAGGATTGGGGACAAATAAGGGACTATAATAATATAGAAAAAGGAATTTGTCAATGAATTCCTTATTTGTCTTAAAACTATTGAATTTTAAGGGAAACTATAATGTTGTTAATTTCATCATGTTAATTCTGACTGATTTTCTTCATAAAAAAGGCTGGTGATTATTCAATGCAGAACATTTATGTTAAAAATGGAATCATGATCTGTAAATGTAAAAGGAGGACTGAGGTTAAAAATACAAGTTAATAATTAAGCAACATATTTTATGATTGGTCTCCAATGAAATGACAAGACTAATGTTCTTAGCTATTTAGACTTTCATGGACAAGTCCAAGCATGTTTATTAAAAACTGCTAATATCACATCTGTGGTCTGTAAATGCAAACTGCAGTCTAACTGCTCCTATAATGGTTAATGATAGGACAAAATGCTTATGAGTCTATATAAACTCTGAGAGTCTAAAGATATATAGGCCTTAGGACATCAATATAGTTTATAAGGATTTGAAGGCATAAAAGCTTAGAGTATATGGGTCTGAGAGGATATTCTGAAAAATATAGATACAAATTTATAAGAAATAATGGCTTAAGATGTATATAAAATATTATAGAATTTATTTCCTTTCCATAATATTATTACACTAGGATTTCAAAAGTTCAGAATTTAACATTTATAGAGTTCTGACAAACTAACAAAGCAATGACTGCTTACTGTTTGGGTCACAAGCTCAAGATTTTAAATTTCTTTTGGTTATCTTCTAAATATAGATTTACATGTTGTTTAACCCAAATCTAGTTTTTGCTCAAACCCAAGGATGTGAATTATTCCAGCTATTTTACAGATACTTGTTACCTGCTTTTTCTATAATATGAATTTCAGTACCGATTGATAATGCCAATATATCTACAACTTTTATGTTTTTCTTTTATAAAACGAAGATTCAAACAAGCTTTAGAAAATCGAGAGGATTATACAACTTGGATCCACTTCTCTAAAATTAAAAGGACTATAGTATTTTCTCTCTCTCCTGGTCTTGGGACTCTTCCCCTTCCTTAATTATTGAGACTGTGAGTTTACAATTTTAAAATAAGTTTATAAATTTTAACATCTGTTCCTAGTTTATATCTCTCTTAACAGGTTTCCATTTGGCTAACAAATCCATCCAAACATCAATTGCTGACACCTTACTCCAAATAACTATGAACATTGAACTTGCTGAAACTTGATATGGACCAATCCAGCCAATGTGTTTGCTGTTTCTCAGCATGGCTATCAACCAGATACTTCTCTAAGTTTCCTCATTGCCTTTCCAGGGCCATGAGAACAACATCCTGAGGTCAGCAGGAAGTAATTGCAGAAATGAATACATCATCCCAGTTTCCTCCCAGAAATGTTAGGTAAAAGGGGAATTTCTCTCTCTCTCTCTCTGCCATCAAAGGGATTTTGGTCAGTGATGCCTTGAATAAATGATAATTACTGTCTGAGTACCATTAAGCTAATGATGCAAACACCCTGATATCAACCTGGAACAAACTCATCTTAAGGATATGAGATGATGTTCTTTGCAGGGTCAAGGAATTTTGAAAGAGCACATGGGAGTTGTAAGACTCCATTAAAAATAAAATTAAAAGGTGGAGTTAGGGTTATAACCATACATGTCTTATTTAAAATTTTATTATTTTTAAAATGTGAATAGATTTTGGCATGAAAAAAACCACCACATAATTTGTTCAGGTCTAATGGAAAAATCCATCCACTGGTTTATGCCCCAACACTGTTTGGGTATGGAGAGAGGGCATGTTTGTGAAATTGAAATTGAAGCTCAATTGGTACAGAAGGATGTCCCACACTGTTTCCCCTTTTATGTCTAAATGAAAAGGAATGTTTTAACTTCAACGCAATAAAATTACATATAACAAAACTTGCCTATAGGTAAGATGGTCCTTCGGGTCTCTGCTTCATGAAAGAGTCTGCCAGATATTCTGCAGGATACAGAAGAAAGTGACTGATAAATTGCTGATGTAGGCAGAAATGTCTTTGAATTTCCTGCTTCATGGAAAAGTCTGCTGGATACTATGGGCCTGTAGGCTGAAGATGGATGCCAATGTTACAGAAAAACTGTGGGTGACTGTCCAGGTAGTGAGATGTCTCTGTCAATTCTAAAGTTCTGGAAGCTGCTTACAATGCACATCCTGTTTACTTAGGTAATATTATATCCTTCTGGGGTCTTTGGTGAAGAATAGAGAGTTACAGTTTTCCTCAGTTATAATAAAAGATAAAGTAAATATAAATATTATAACTGTAATTCTTGCTTGATACCTGTTTAGTTTTACTATGTTAAAGTTAAAACCTTCCTTTTCATTTAGACAGAAAAGGGGAAGTGGTGTGGGAAGTCCTTCTGTATATGTGTTGCTTTTATTGGTTAATGAATAAAGAAGCTGCTTTGGCCTGTGATAGGGAAGAGTAGAGGCAGGTGAGAAAACTAAACAAAATGCTGGGAGAAAGAAGGCAGACTCAATGGGAAGCCATGTAGCCACCAGAAAAGGCAGATACTGGAACTTTGCCCCGTAAGCCACAGCCACATGGCAAGACACAGACTAACAGAAATGGGTTAATTTAGGATTTGAGTTAGCTAGCAATACACTTAAGCTATTGGCCAAGCAGTGATTTAAATAATATAGTTTCTGTGTAATTATTTTGGGTCTAAGCAGCCTGGAAATGAACAAGCAGGTTCCTCCAGCACACATGGACCAGTAACAACTTTTTCCATGAAGGCATATAAAGTATAATTTAATTGAATAAAAACAACAAATGGTAATGACTAAAAAGAATTAAACTCACTGACTGCTATATTGTAAGGAACAAGAAAACACTTTCAAAGAACAATTCTGTGTTTTGCAGAAACTTACATCACAATAGCCTTGTCCTGTTTCTTTGAAGTATAAACACAAATACTCAAAATTCTCACATAACTTCAACCAGGACAGTGTTCCAATAATACACTTGAACAAACGCAATTTTAAGAAAAAAAATAACACATACACAAATAAAGCTTTTTAAAATATGGAGTCTCTCTCCTGTCACACACACACATATATAAATATATGCATATACATATACATGTGTGTATATGTATGTTAAGTATATGTATGTATATATCCACCTTTATAACATTAACATGCCGGTTCCCGAGGAAGGCAAAGAAGTGCATTACACCTGGACCAGGATTTACAGATACTTCTGAGCCACCTCATGTGGGTGCTAGGAACCAAACTTGAATGCCCTACAGATGCAATGCTACTGAGTCAATTCTGCAGCTCCAAAAGATATCATTATAATACATATAATGAATATTCTCCTTTATTCCATCCTCATCATTTGGAGGTGATGAAAGTCCTTGCTACTTGTTCAGTGACAAATTGAATGAATTTAATCCCTTTGTGAATAGACTCTGCACATTGCTTATTTTAGTTGTTTATGTAATTCTCTTGATGTGAATGATCCCAACAAATGATTTAGATGATTGAAAATGAGCCCATATTATGCAACAAAAAGTTCCACAATGTGATACATACATTTAAAAATGATTATTTTTCTTTTACATGAAAAGGTGTTTTGCCTGCATGTATACCTGCATAAGTGTGTTGGATCCCCTAGAACTACACTTCCAGAGTTTTGAGCTTCTATGTTGGTGCTTGGGATTGAACCCAGGTCCTCAGGAAATGTAACCATCTTTCCAGATCCCTTTTTTGGATATTTTGAGAAAGGATCCCTCTATAAACTGGTACCATTCTGGAACTCAATACTAGGTCATCAGGCTTAGCAGCAATCACATTTTCTTACTGATAAAATTCTCTGCCATTCATTTGTGTTTCTGAAAATATAAGAAGTATTTAACCTCAGAACCAAGTACCATGACCCAAAAATAATGGAATGACAGTATAAATATCACTTTCAATTGGAAATACATTTTATTATTCAAATTATCAAACATGTATTCTTGGAATACAATGTTTACAACTTTAAAAAGAGACAATATTTTAACTATGGAGTGGCTCTACTAATCTTACTGAAGCACCATTGAGATAAAAATATAGGCTTCTTCATTTGTGGGCAGCAAATTTATTAGACTGATGGAGATTTTCACCAGTGTGAATATTTTTATGATTTTGAAGGATACTGTAACATGCAAAGACTTTACCATATTGATTACATTCATAAGATTTGCCTCCAGTATGAGTTTTCTTCTATTTGAAGATGACTATTAAGTGCAAAGTCTCTACCATATTGATTATATCCATAGGATTTCTCTCTAGTATGACATCTTTCATGCCTATGAAGATGACTTTTACGTGCAAATGCTTTATCACACTGCTTACATTCATAGGGTTTCTCTCCAGTATGAATTCTTTCATGACTGTGAAGATGACTATTATGTCCAAAGGCTTTACCACATTGACTACATACATAGGGTTTTTCCCCAGTATGAGTTCTTTCATGACTAAGAAGATGACTCTTCCTTGCAAAGACTTTACCACATAGATTACATTCATAGGGTTTCTCTCCTGTATGACTTCTTTCATGAATGAGAAGATTATTCTTCTGTGTAAAGGAGTTAGCATTTTGATTATATTCATAGGGTTTCTCTCCAGTATGATTTCTTTCATGACTGAGAAGATTACTCTTCTGAGCAAAGGCTTTACCACACTGATTACATTCATAGGGTTTCTCTCCAGTATGAATTCTTTCATGAATGAGAAGATTACTCTTCTGTGCAAAGGCTTTACTACATTGATTACATTCATAGGGTTTCTCTCCAGAATGAACTCTTTCATGACTGCGAAGAGAACTCTTCTGTGCAAAGGCTTTGTGACACTGACTACATTCAAAGGGTTTCTCTCCAGTGTGACTTCTTTCATGACTACGAAGATTACACTTCTCTACAAAGGCTTTACCACATTGATTACATTCATAGGGTTTCTCTCCAGTATGAATTCTTTCATGAATGAGAAGTTTATACTTGTGTGCAAAGGCTTTACCACATTGATTACATTCATAGCGTTTCTCTCCGGTGTGACTTTTTTCATGCCTGTGAAGATTACTCTTCTGCACAAAGGTTTTACCACACTGATTACATTCATAGGGTTTCTCTCCAGTATAAATAGTTTTATATATTTGAAGATAACTGGGACTTGCTAAGGCTTTACTGCATTGCTCATATTCATACCTTTTCTCTCTAGAATGAGTTCTATGTACTTGATGAAAACTATGACATGCAGAGACATTATCACTTTGATTATATTCGTAGGGTTTTTCTTCCAAATGAGTTCTTTGCTGTACTTGTAAAGTTGAATCATGTTGAATGGGCTTATCATGTTGATCACATTCATCGAGATTCTCTTCATTATTGGTTGTTTTGTGTATTTGAAGATACCTGTGATGGCTAAAGTCCTTAGTATGAAGCTCACATTTTTCACTTCCTTTTCCAAAATGAGCTTTTTCATGTCTTTGAAAAGAACTGGAATAACTCAGAGTTTTACAACACTGATTGCATGTATAACATACACTGTGAGTCACACTGCATGAGCAAAGTGAACCAATACAGACAGATGGATTTCCATATTCCTTGTTCTCATAAGGGTTTTCTCCAATGTGAGAGTGTAAACTTGTATCACAGCCATCATGTCTTCTTGCAGCAGGGACTACAACATATCTTCTAACTGTTCCAGGAGAAAAAGAGGTATATTGCTTCTTTCCATATCCCTGATGCTCATAGGGCTTGTATCCAGAGTGACAGTTGATATGCCTATTAAAGGAACAATAGCAAATAAAAGATTTTCACATTACATTCACATACTCTAACACTTTGTGCCTCAGAGACGTGCTGTATGGACTCAGGATTCTACACCACAATACATTCCTTGTCTCTCATAAAGTGCTCTTCTCACTAAATTATGGTAAGTCACTCACTACAAGTATATGAGGAATACTAGACATAATATGGAAGTTTTGCTTATAAAAGATCTTGGACATAGTATAATTGTGTTATCAGCATCTATACCTTATATGATAATTGAACGGCATGATAATAATTGGATGGACAATTCTACAAAATGCTTTTCATATGTCTATGATTAAAACTGTGACATGTGCTATAGCATTGTTTCCTTATCTTATCCTTAAAGGAATGGTTTTCAAATCAGGTCCCTGACACTGGAATACATGGTGTTGTAACACTTCTTCCATGGTATATATATACCAGCTTGCACATGAAAATTACCTTCCATGTCTTCTAGAACTTTGATCATCTTCTTCAATATTGTGGTCGTCCCATTTGTAACCTAAAATATAGTACCAGAAAACGTATATGATATATTACTGGAAATTAGGCACAGTCCAATATTCTATCTTTCATGAATCATTGAACAATGTCTGATTTATTCACTAGATTCTTTCTCTTTCATGTTCAAAATCACAGAATAATAACAATCATCAAGAGAGGATTGTCCCATAAGTTGAAAAGTGACAGAAAGCTCATATTCCTACCTATAGAAATGAGGTTCCAGTAGGTTTCCACCATGACATCTCTGTAGAGACTCTTCTGGGAAGGATCCAGCAAAGCCCACTCTTCGTGAGTGAAATTCACATGCACATCCTCATAGGTCACTGCATCCTAAAGTTTCCCACATATGTACATAATAGAAGGGTTGAGTCTGACTGCATTGTAAATGTATATTTCATTGAGAATATATTTACATAATTCATTGTGCTCATTACATAATGTCACATTGGTCATAAAATAACAAAGGCAGTCACCAACACATTTTAAAAGGAAACAGAAAAGGAGAATCATGCCTTCCATATCTGTGGCCATAAAACAGAATCTGTCATTGCAGGAGAAATGCCTAGTAATAAACACAGAGAGACATGTAAACAGAATAACACTATTTGGTATACATCAGAAATATTTTTAAATTATCAACTTAAAAAAGGTTAGACAATATGGGTATGTTGGGGCCCACCTTTAATCCCAAATCTCAGGAGGTAAAGGCAGGTGATACTTAATGATTTCCAAGATAGCCTCGTCTGTGTAGAGATTTCCAGGACAGTCAAAGTTACATACTGAGACTGTCTCAATCAAACAAACAAATAGAAAGCACTCAAAGAGTTAAAATATTCAGTCCAGCTCTGTACTTCTCAGTCATGACCTGAAGTGATCCCTTATAAATTGTATGGCTAATAATTCCTAGGGAGGAATGCATGTTTAGTTCTGACTGACAGATCAAAGAGTTCTCAGAAACATTAGTAGAGTAAATGCTTATCCCAAAAAGAATAATAAAATGATGGAGTATATAAAGACGTGTTAACACATAAGATCACCTGTCCTAGACCAGTTCTCAGCACTCACTATTCCTATCATCAGGTCAAGAGAACCCAATGCTCTGTTCTGACTTCAGTAAACACCAGGCAGACAAGCGATGTCACTCACAACCACCTGAAACTACACCCCTAGGGGATCTGACTCTTTCTGGTCTGCATGAGCACCAGGCAGACACAGTTTATGCAAGCATGTAAATAGGCACTAAAGTCATAAAATCCTAATAAATCAAAAAGAATAAAGGGACCACAGATCCATCTCAGCTTGTAGCATTCTTGCCTAGCAAGGGGGAATCCCTCAGTTCAATTCCTGTTCCAGAAAGGGGACAAGGATTGGGATGCCTCTAATCACAACACATGAAGAGGTAGATGTAGTAAGATGAGACATTGAAAATCATTCTTGGGGACATGGGAAGTTTGAGGGCAGTCTGGCCTATATGAAACACTGCCTTTAGAAACAACACAAAAGAAATCAACACAGAAATATCCCAGGAGAAAGAAAAGAATATAGGATACAAGCTATTACAGCTTTTTGAAAGCCCACAAATCTGGAATAGGAATGGATCCTAGTCAACAGAAATGGCAAAATGGGTATGGGAACTGAACTCTGTCTTCTGCAAAGTTTATACACATTCTTTCCACTGAGCCATCTTTTCAGCTCCTAGAAACTGTTTATGAACAATGTGGTTTCAGTTTCTGACTGTTATCACCAGCAGAAGATATATTTATCTTAGAGAAAGCAGACTCTAAGAATGTCCCAGCAAGGGCTGTATCTAAAGGAAACAGGATTTTACTGTCCACCAGCAAGAATCCACCGGACCAAATGAACAGTTCTTGCTTGTCAAGTTAACACCATCAGAACCTTATATAATTATATATAGTTCTGAAACCAAAATATTGACATTTAGGTTAAAGACTGTAGTCTGCAAAAAAAGAGGTCTCCCTAAAATCAAGTCTTTAGAAAAGGTCTTCTTCAGATACACATGGAGGCCTGAAATCCCTGATCTCACCAAGTGGGAAGTGGAAGGAAGCAAGAGAATAGGGACAGGATTTCAAGGCCAGATTTTGGCCCAAAAGGTCCTATCTCAAAAAGAAAAGAAAAACAAACATAAAGGTCCCAATTGATTAAAAGGAGCTCTAGGAAAAAAATCGAGAAACAGTGCCACATAAAACACTTCATTTTCATTGTAAGACTTAACTGTTTAATAATATCTATACATAAATTGATGGGATATTTTAATCCCATCAAAAAATTTAAGTGTGATTCAAGACCAAAGTGTATTCCTTTATCCCATCTAGACAATTAAACATTTAGAATTGCATGTGTGTTAGGGCAGGCACAGAAGGGTCATAATGAGAACTTGAAGATCAGAGGACAGTGTTCAGTAGT